CCAGGGAGTTTGTGTGTTCTGTGTGTGTTTGGTTGTATTCTGTTGCAGACATGGCTCATATCCTCCCCAAGCAGCGGATTGGGTAATCACCTTCCTGATTGAGGACCGGACTCCGCCCTTCTTCATCAGTGGAGGCAGCTGTGTCTGTGGCTATTTAAGCCTTGTGTTCAGGGGAGAAGCTCTCTCTCTGGATCTCTTGTGTTGGAGCTCTGTCGGGCCTTTTCGGTATAGTGAGTACTGTGAACATAGAGGGAGTACTTATTGTTAGAGGTGTGTTTTTGGTGTTATAGTGCTGTTCCTGGTACATGTGTTTTGGTGTATTAATATTGTGTTTGTCATCTGTCGTGTGTATTTGTTTGGTTGTTGTCTGTAACCAGGCATCGTTATTATTTGGGTTAATTACCTTTTTCTTCTGTTTCAGGGGAAAAGGGAATGTGTTAGGCAAGAGGCCCATGGGTTTACATCTCCCGTAGCAGACCTCTGTCTAAACACACTAGGCAAGACCTGGGCGGACCACCCCCTGTATTTTTGCTAGAGAGCCTCATCCGTGCTCTGGTTAGGTTAAAGGGGGGGATTTAGTGAAGTTTAGGGAAGTGTTGCCCGTTTATGTTACGTTCTTTGCTTTGGTTCCGCTCAGCCCTTTTTCCCTGCCGTTATATTAAGGAGAAAAATAAACTCCTTTGTTTATTAATGACAGACTTGTGTTGGTTGTCCTTATTTGCACCCTCGACCCTACACCTTTGCATACCACTCAACAGGGGCTCACGGAAACGGGGGTTGCGTACCCTACCCTAGAAGGGGAAACGTAACAGTGCAGTATGGGATGCCCTGATCAGTGTCTCCCCTGTGTGTGTGCAGTATGGGATGCCCTGATCAGTGTCTCCCCTGTGTGTGTGCAGTATGGGATGCCCTGATCAGTGTCTCCCCTGTGTGTGTGCAGTATGGGATGCCCTGATCAGTGTCTCCCCTGTGTGTGTGCAGTATGGGATGCCCTGATCAGTGTCTCCCCTGTGTGTGTGCAGTATGGGATGCCCTGAGCAGTGTCTCCCCTGTGTGTGAGCAGTATGGGATGCCCTGATCAGTGTCTCCCCTGTGTGTGAGCAGTATGGGATGCCCTGATCAGTGTCTCCCCTGTGTGTGTGCAGTATGGGATGCCCTGATCAGTGTCTCCCCTGTGTGTGTGCAGTATGGGATGCCCTGAGCAGTGTCTCCCCTGTGTGTGTGTAGTATGGGATGCCCTGAGCAGTGTCTCCCCTGTGTGTGTGCAGTATGGGATGCCCTGATCAGTGTCTCCCCTGTGTGTGTGCAGTATGGGATGCCCTGATTAGTGTCTCCCCTGTGTGTGTGCAGTATGGGATGCCCTGACCAGTGTCTCCCTGTGTGTGTGCAGTATGGGATGCCCTGACCAGTGTCTCCCCTGTGTGTGTGCAGTATGGGATGCCCTGATCAGTGTCTCCCCTGTGTGTGTGCAGTATGAGATGCCCTGATCAGTGTCTCCCCTGTGTGTGTGCAGTATGGATGCCCTGAGCATATGTTTCCCGGGACAGACAGAACAGGGTTGGTTTTGGGTTACTTACTTTGTAGACCCTTTCGGTGTTCATCACTTTATTTACACACTTACGTTAGAGGTTCTTAATAACAATATTTAATTTATAAAGCCCATTTCCTGTTTTTACTGTGCATAATAAATACAGTATGAATCCCACCGGGGGGTCGTAGACATCGAGCCAGGAAGATCAAATCCCTGATGACGAATTACAACTCCCGCCCCTCGTACACGCCTGGTTTCTATGCGGATGGGGTTATCAGGTCGGCTCGCCCCTTTAGTGTTCGAGTGATTTATTCACATCGGCGGATGATTCCAAGGACGGACGAGCGGTTCGGTTAAAACACCTTTCTAGTCCCGCTTGTCGTCTATCGGAGGCATAACGCGTCCGCTCTTATTAGCGAATGCCACAGCCATTTAGGTTATTACGCAATTAAACAGGATCCCCCGAGAGGTAAGTGAATAAGCCCAATAAGCTGTTCTGGCAGGAAACACGACGATGACTGATAGAGAACGGATGCTGCACAGACATAATACATGCGAACGTGACTGAGACACAATAAACACCGGGTTCTGTTGTCTTTCTTGCCCTCCGTCCCTTTTCTCATATTGTCCCCCCCCACTCCCCCCCCACCCCATCACAGATAAAGCTGTCAGGCAATGATGGATATCTAATTAAAGTGTTGTGGTGGAAGGCGTCCTCGGCGAGATAGCGCGCCCCCGGTCGTGTGAACGCTATTACTTACAGCGTATTCCGGTGGCCCGGATTTTTGCATTTTGTTGTGAAAGGTGAAACACAGAAAGGGGAGGACAAGATCGCAACCAAGTGCACGAGATAGGAGTGCATATTTCGTTCTCTGGCTTATAAAGGAGCTGCCAACTGGTCGGGAAAATGATCCCTTTACAATCCTTACGGAAGAGAGGACCCTGATACTTAGTTAATCCTTTCACTATTTTGCTCAGTTCACACTTGCTTAGATCCAATGTTCCGATGACTTCCAGATACTATAGTCAGGGAACGTCGGGAGCCGTAGAAGCAGATCGACAGATTGTTTTGTGCCCGCTCTCCCTGTCAGAGGAGCTCCTGAAAGGAACGTTTCTGGTTGTTTTGCGAATGTACCGTTTGAATTGTTAAACTCGTATAAAAAGATGAGCGTTAAAAAGCATTTAACCGTTTCAATCTGAGTACGCTTCCGGAGGGACGGCAGAGGTTAACATTTATCCCTTCCCCGTTGCTCAGGGCAGGCCAGGGCCAGATTCCACAAGAGTTTCCTGAGGCTAAATTCATCGTGAGAACCCTTGTAAGAGCATAATCTTTGAGGGATGGGCAGAGAAGTAAGCTTTAGAACATGGTAACAATTATGTGCCAACTCAGTGATTTATTGACCAAGCCGGGCCCAATATATTTTCCGCCATAGGGAGGCTACTTTCTCTGGGATCTTTTTTTTGTGAGTATTGTGCAGTACATCATGTCAGACATGGACTCAACTTGAGATGGCTGGATTCCCAACCAATCAGAGTTGTCACGTGCTCTGTTATACCTCGGGGTCGTTACAGTAATAACGTCTTTTTAGGACAATAAGTTCCATTGCAACCAGGAAACCATGCCCAGTAAAATTACCAGTTGGCATCAATTAGAAAATGCCAATCTTTCCTCCCGGGTAAGTCAATAAACTGTGAAACCTGTGGCCGCTTAGTGAATCATCAGTGTGCCAGAAGCTCTGTTGAGTGGTGATTTTAGAGCCTCGGGGCATATCACTGCTGGATATTCAGCTACCTCCAGTCCTTATAACATTCCACTAATACTTTCAATATCCCGCGTCTATAGCTTTGTTCTGATTAAACCTAACGTCTGTTTCGGTAATCCACTTCCCTTATAAATGTTCTCCTAGCCAGTGTCCTGTTTCTCCCCTGGGACTATTATTGTGAAGTCTGCATACTTTCCATCGCGATAACTCTGTGAAGTCAGTGCTCAGGTCCAGGTCACTATTGCAGACTTTTATTCTAATCTATGAGTCCTGACTTCCACCAAGTCTGGGCCACAGCAGCACAAACCAGCACTGTCACCTCTCCAGAAACTGTACAATAATGCTCTGTTCTGTCATTTCCCTTGCAGATGGAAAGGTGGAGGTGACAAAGGAAAGCATGAAGCTGTGTACCATGGGCCCTGGGAAGGTGTTTGGAGAGCTGGCCATCCTTTATAACTGCACCAGAACGGCCACGGTCAAGAGTAAGTCTAACACATACAACGCACTTTAGACACGCCTTTGCACTTCATCACATAAATACTTTAATATATTGATTACAACTGATTACAATCTGCAGGTTGCTAGTACAAACTTTTTCGGGAAACTTTAAAAAACTTTTTTTTATTTGGAAAAATGACAAATGTACACACAGAATTGTTAGTAAAGGGTAAATAAGATAAATAATAAAATACATTTTCAAGCACATATTCCACTGGCATTCGACTTGTTGGAGTTCAGCCCTATCCATATTTTCCTGTTGTCCTCCTATCCCAGGATATTATAATTATCTATAACTTAGATTTTTTATAATGACAATTAGCATCAGAATGCTAACAAAATGACAGTGGCACAAGCACACTACAGAACCTCCCCCGGCAACGTGAGTCACTAATGAACGATGCAAACGCAGACAAATAAACACACTAATTGTAAAGAAAGGTGATCCAGCTCCCGGAGTCCTAGAGGCACAGAAGGTCGTCAGCTGGTGACTGTCATTTTAGAGCATTTGACGTTTACAAGCGAAAGAGAACGAGATCAAACCTGCATCAGAGGCACCGCGGGCAGCCCGTGTACGCAGTCCTGAATGAGCGGCCTGGAGGAGGAGCCAGATGGGAGAAGGAGAAGAAAGCACAGGGAAAAGCGCTGTGCAGTCAGTGGCAGCTGTACAGAGAACTTAGCCAAAGCTCTTTGACTTCTGAAACTAGGCAGAAAACGAACACTATAAAGCCCGTCTCCTCATTAATTCGGCAACTTCTCGTTCTTGGCCGACTAGATGGCAAGCCGACCAAATGACTCACCGGCTTCCACTTTGCGGGTGAATGACGGGAATGGCTCAGTTGATCTGGGGAACTACAGCATTACTAAATGTCTAATAAAGATGTATGACAGAGGGAAATAATGAATGTGATTCCATTGATATTGTAATATATTGCAGAAGTTGACCTAGATATTTACTTAAAAATATCTATAAAAATATAAAACACTTATATTTTAAACTTCTCAGGCATTGTTACAATGTTGAAAATCATCATCATGTATATACACTTTCCAAGCCAAATATATATATTATATATGTCTTGTTTATCCGTTTCCCTTGATGGACGTTCACCGTGCTAATTAGCTAAATTAGTCTCTCTGATGGCCCGGTTCTCTGTTTTGCTGCTCTCTCAGGGCTTGTTTACAGTTCACTCGGTTTTTCTGGAGATGGTAGCAGCTCGGTGGTAGAGTGCGTGCTCTGTATGTAGGATGTCCTGGGTTCAATTCCCCAGGTCGCCGTTACAAATGAGGGTTTGTTCTCAATCGGCCTACCTGGATAAATAAAATTGAAATAATAAAATAAAAAACATATCGAACAAGTAGAGAGCCAAGAACTGTATCAATGCTTTGTGCACTCACATACCCACAATCCTGCAGGGGTGTGTCTCGAACCAGTATGAATTCAAATGCTATAAAAATGATAATGAAAAACCAAGAGCTTCGAAGCGTTTTATTAGCCCTCTCGTATTGTAAACAAGAGCGTTTGCCGGAAATACACTTGAGGACCAGTGTCGGGATATACTTTTGTGAATGCTTATCTATGTGGAATAATCCACCTCAGACAGTTGGATTGTTCACAATATCTTTAGGTCTCACAAAAGGATCTGTCTCCAGTATGTCTGCCTGTCTTTATTTTGGTCTGTATTGAGCGACATTATTGCCAGCGAACTAGCGACAATCTATACACATTGTGTCAATTATCGTAGTCCCTCAGCTTCTCATGTCACTGAGCTGGGGACAGACACGGCTTTATTTATGCTTCGCGCGGGCGGCGAGCATATATCATCACGTTTCCACTCGACCTATGGGATAATACAATCGCTACATTTGCGTCTGTATTATTGTGTGTCCGTACCGACGTGAAGAGGGTCGCAAAATATGTATTTACAACCGCGAGGAACAAGGCTGGAGCAAATCGGGATGAATAAAATTAGACTTTCGTATCTGTCTCTGTGAGGTGAACAAAAAAGGAAGCCTCCGTTCTCGATGGCGGGAAATTAAGGCTGACAATGTTATTTCCCCAGGTGTAGCCGCTACATGACTCATGTTGGATTGCTTTGATGAAGCGCTGCTGGGGTGCTGCGGCGCTATTTCTCCAACAGCCCCGGTGAGCGGCGGCCAGGTCAAGCTACATCCTCTCGCCTAATTACGGGCAACATGGTCGCTGCTTATAGAGCATATTTCGCGTTGAACTTTTGCTGCCGTTCCCCGTGCTCGACCGGGCGATTAGCTGCTATATTTTTGATTCTGTTGATTTGTCAGGTGATGCGATATTGATTGAACATCGGCTGTAAACTGAGTGCTTCTGATTTTGCCTGGTTAAGCCCTGGGCAAACTGAGCGCGCTCCATAGCGCTGAATGTTTTCGCTAATTACTTGAGTGTTCTCTGGTCACGCTAAATGTTTGTTCACATTAGGGTAATATCCCCCGCCGTTTATGGCCTGCGCTACAATTTACTAAAATAGTCTTGGCATAAGGATGTTGTGGGGTGGGGTGTGTGGTGGAGAACGTGGGTGTGTGCGGTGGAGAACATGGGTGTGTGTGGTGGAGAAAGTGGGTGTGTGTGTTGGAGAATGTGGGTGTGTGTGGTGGAGAACGTGGGTGTGTGTGGTGGAGAACGTGGGTGTGTGCTGGAGAACGTGGGTCTGTGGTGGAGAATGTGGGTGTGTGTGGTGGAGAACGTGGGTGTGTGTGGTGGAGAACGTGGGTGTGTGTGGCGGAGAACGTGGGTGTGTGTGGCGGAGAACGTGGGTGTGTGTGGCGGAGAACGTGGGTGTGTGTGTCGGAGAACGTGGGTGTGTGTGGTGGAGAACGTGGGTGTGTGTGGTGGAGAACGTGGGTGTGTGTGGTGGAGAACGTGGGTGTGTGTGTCGGAGAACGTGGGTGTGAGTGGTGGAGAACGTGTTGATGAAGGAGTGAGGGCCCGTTATTATATTGTTTGCACATGGCATCTAATTACGACTGTGAACATATTAGAGTGTAATTATACACAACGTTGTGACTACAAATCTAACTGGAAAGAGACGATTCCAAGTATAATTTTACAGAATAATTCTTCTGCGAATGTACAGTTTTATTCAGTTGTTGATGCTGTGGCATTGGAAACAGACAAGATATATCAGCAATTTAAATATATCTGCTGCAGAATCAATTGATATTACAGTTTAGAAGAGCAATTTTCACATTATGATGGTGTTTATTGAGGTTATTAATCATGGGATACACAATTGGAATATATCTTCATTCTATGGTAAGCACGGCACCAACTAGCCAGAAGGAAATGTATCTTATTGAAAAATATGTACAGAGTTGTCATGCAATTGATACTGTGAAGGTAATTGTTCAAATTCAAGTTTATTATAGAAATAAGCTAATCAAGACACAAAGATGATTTATTTTGCTTAACAACGATATCGACTAATGATTATTAACAAGACAATCTGCACGCACACACTAACCGAGATTTCGAGATAGAAATGAAGGTTGTTTCTTTCTGCTCGGACACGTCCATAGTAGAAAAGTAAAATTCAGTATCGCATCAGACTTCTCCAGATCAAACGGCTTCTTCCGTGAGATCAAAGGACAGTTATCCTCAAATGTTCACATCTGATCAACAGTGGAAGGTGGTTCGGCCTGGCGAGATTGACAATGGACGCTGTCACTCTCCAGTTATCTATTTTGTCTGAACATGTTTTCCTTTGTTTATACAGATAAATCGATAGAGACCACAGTCAGACCTGTCCCACTGAGCAAAGGACGTTGAAAATAAAAAAAAATACTGAAAAGAGGTCAAACAGTGGTTGAAAATATGTTTTTCAATTTATTTTGCTCGGTGGGTTGTCTTACCACAATAATAACATACACAAATTGGCAACAAAACTAATATTAAGAAAAACACAGCTGACAGTAAAAACAGGCGCTAAAAGTCTTAAGATCCCAGAAGAAACATATTTTCACCATTTGCTTCTCCACCGACTAATGTGTGTAATGTGTGTTTTAAAAGACTTCGTTTAGCGGATTTATAATGTCTTATAGGCACTGAAACATTTAACCGAAAATCACACTTAATGGCACTCCAAAGTGTGCGGCGAAATCTAAATCAAAAAGCAGTTTAACCTAGTTCACTGTAGCACTTTGCAGTATTGAGAGCATGTACGTTAACTGCTGTACTTCCTGCAAAATTCCTCCGTTAGAATGTCAAGATGTATTTCTATTTCAACTAATATCTGCCTCTTCGAGACGACGTCAGGGTCTCGCAGCCGTCTTAATCACATAACTGACAGTGATGTGTTCGAAAATCTGCGCCAGTAATAAAACACGCGGTTGATTGATTGACTGCATCCAGAGATTTCGGTATAAAAGCCGACGCAGAAATATACACTGATGAGCCAAAACATTACGACACAGGTGAAGCGAACAACGTTGATCATCTCCTAACAAGGGCAGATGTCAGAGTCTTGGCAGACTAGACGGTAAACCAACAATCTGTTCTCGTAGTCAACATGTTGGATGCCGGAGAAATGGGCCGGAGTGACTGAGCGACTACGACAAGGGAGAACAGATTACGGCCAAACAACGGGGTCAGGGCGTCTCGGCAGCGGTGAGCACCGACCAACAGCGGTCCAAGGAGGGACCAATCACAAACCGGGCGACAAGGTGTTGGATGCCCGAGGCACATCGATGTGCAATGGCAACAAAGGCTATCCCGTCTTTCATAAGGTGGTTACCAGAGGGCTGTGTCACAGCAGGTTTGCTGTATACAGTATGGGCCTGTGAAGCCTTAATGCAGTCAAAGTGCTCGCGATGACTCCCGTCCACTGTTAAAAGTGCCTGCGAAGGGCATGCAGGCATTTCTTGTTTTACATCATGTGGACGGCCGTGTACACCTTCACCTGCAGAAGTGATGGCATCAGGATTCCCTCTGGGACGATGACAAGCCAGTGGATGTAGTCTGATGCTCCGGGCAACGTTCTGCTTGGAAACCTTGGGTCCGAGCTTTCACGTGGATGTCAATTAGACACGTGCCAGCTACCTGAACACCGTCGCAGACCAGGTACAGCCCTTCGTGGCGATGGTATTCCCTGATGGCAGTGGCCCTCCTTCAGCCGGATAACGCGCCCTGCCACTCTGCACACATTGTTCGGGAATGATTTGAGGAACAAGACGTTCAAGGGGTTTCCCTGGCCTTGAAATCCCCCAGATCTAAATCCAGTTGACCATCTGCTGGGATGTGCTGGAAGACTGAATCAGGTTGAAGTCTGTTTAAAATGCAGTGTTCTGAAAAATGGAACAGATGTGATTATTCACGAGACAACATTTATTCCTGATACGGCCGTGAAAAATATGATTATGTAACGAGTGTTGGCGAATGGTTATGGTTCAGGTTAGATATGGCTTCAGGTTAGACAGTTTTTGTGTCCGTGCCATACATATTTCAACATATGTCAACTGATCACCATCTGGTAGTGAGTTGGATCAGAGGGTGGGGAAAGACTTTGGACAGACCAGGTAAGCCCAAACGGGTGGTGCGGGTGAACTGGGAACGTCTGGAGGAGGCCCCTGTCCGAAAGATCTTCAACTCACACCTCCGGCGGAGCTTTTCAAGCATCCCTGTGGAGGTTGGGGGCATTGAACCTGAGTGGGCAATGTTCAAAGCTTCTATTGCTGAAGCTGCGGCGGTGAGCTGTGGTCTCAAGGTCCTAGGTGCCTCAAGGGGTGGTAACCCTAGAACACCGTGGTGGACCACGGTGGTCAGGGAAGCTGTCCGACTGAAGAAGGAGGCCTTCAGGGATATGCTAGCCCTGGGGACTCCGGAGGCAGTTGCAGGGTACCGACAGGCCCGAAGGGCTGCAGCCGCTGCCGTGTCAGAGGCAAAGCAGCGGGTGTGGGAGAAGTTTGGAGAAGCTATGGAGAAGGACTTTCGGTCGGCACCAAAATGCTTCTGGAAAACCGTTCGGCACCTCAGAAGGGGAAAACGGGGAACCATCCAAGCTGTGTACAGTAAGGATGGGACACTGTTGACCTCAACTGATGATGTGATCGGGCGCTGGAAAGAGCATTTTGAGGAGCTCCTGAATCCGACCTACACGCCCTCTAGTACAGAGGCAGAGCTGGAGGCTGATGGAGGGTCATCGTCAGTTTCCCTGGGGGAAGTCGCTGAGGTAGTCAAACAACTCCACAGTGGCAAAGCCCCAGGGACTGATGAGATTCGTCCAGAAATGCTAAAAGCTTTGGGTGGG